TCAATCACTGCATTATATCCTGGCACTTATTTTTAAGCTTTTACACTATACTTGCTTTGCAGAAAGTGTTGTGCACTGTAGCTGGAAGGCACTGAGCCAACAGAAACCCCCAGAAGGCTTTACCTCAAAGTCCCTTTGTCCTGCTGTTCGGGATAGAAAGCAAAATCTTCTATTATTAAAAGCTGTATTTAAAAAACTGAACTCCAAAATGAACAAAAACATGACCCTACGCTGGATAAAAATGTCAAATGTGTTTAAACCAGCATATTTCTTTTTGTGTGGACAACACTAGTGTTCTGTTAGATTCATGCCCAGATATTCATGAGATCTGTGTAAAACAATATGTAGCCACTACTTGGCTCTTCCCTCTTGGATTGAGCTCCCTGTTCCTTGGAGCATTGATCCGAGCAGTGCTCAAAGGGAGATGATACTGTTTGGAGAGCAGAGGACAAGGAAGAAGCCCTCTGGGTCCAGCCTTCCCTTCGGGTCCCATGACAGCCAGAAGCTGGTTTATCTTGTACTCCTTGCAGCAAGCAGATGAGAACGTTTAACACTGTTAATGTTTAATAAGGACAAATGTAAGGAATGCTTAACGGTGAAAAGCTTGACTAGACTTGAATAAAAATTTCTACTCGTTTGTACAGGCAGCAGGATTTCTGCATGACTTGGTTTTGTTGTCACAGGAAATGATAGAGCTCAGTGCATATTAGCTATGATCTTCACCTAAGTAAACCTGAAATAATGTCTTACCCAATCGTGCCAGTATTTGTAATAATTGAGATCATATGTATAGCTGACTGACAGCCAGGTCTCTTGCTCTACGTCTCCATGGGTGTACGTGCACACATTCCAGGAGTCTTTTTGCATTAGATTGCTGTCATATTATGATGATTCAGGTAGGACGGTCCACAGAATAGTAATAAGCTGAGCAAAAGCCACGTAGCTCAAATTCCTCTGTAGGTAATGGAAAGAAAGTGTTGTGATGAATTGGCACCTGGAGAAGTCCAGGTATCTCCACTGACTTCATGGGAGTCACAGCAATCCTGTGGTTGGTTGGGGGCTGTGAGCTGGTGTGTATTAGAGGATGAGAGTCAGAAAGAAGAGACACAGGAATACATTTGCTTGTCTTATCCTTGAACAGTTGTGTATGCTTTCCATGCTTAATCAGTTGCAAATGACTCAGATGACATGGCTTTAACCCCTCTTTCTTGGTTGATGCTCAGAAGGTCTGGGGACCTTTCTGGAGACATTAGAGTAATGTCTCCACAGCATGGAGACTCCATGCAAAACTTTCCGTACCTCTTAGGGCCTCCTGTGAGACTGTGTTGGGTAGACAGAGAGTGGCAGGAAGCCCTGCAAAGGGTCATGTAGAGTACTGTGTTGGCAGCTGCCCAAGAATAAGCCAGAAATCTCATATCTTGCCACTAAACACAATTTATACCAATCTAGGCCAAAAATATAAAAGCCTCACCCTGCAGAGTAATGGATATACGAAGAATGCCTGGAGCCTCACATTCTTCCTTCAATTGTGAGCGTTGATTTTTCTTTCAAATCACTTACATGGCTACACTGAATTTTGGGTAGGTGTTGAAAATTTAATCTGTATTAAACAAGCTTCTTTAACCTGGCAGGTAAACGAAGGCATTATTAACACAATCTCATGTATTTCCTTAATGTGCATGCTTTATAATAGAAGCATTTAATTTTTTTTTAAGTTTTGGTATCCAACCTTCTATAAAAACATTGTATCAGGCAACATAACACGATCTGACTTAGTGACATTTCAGTGGATAATATGACAAAAATTGTTTCTTTTTAAGAAAAAAAAATAACCAAAACAAACATAAGAATGAGCATTACAAAAATCGTGCTGAGAGAAAAGCCCCATAGATACAAAATGGTAAAGGTCAGGATCTGTTACTCAAGCCTTGTTTGCAAGTAAAAACACCATGCTAACGTGTGGCTGTCACAAACCTAAGCGAGCCAGACGGACTGCTGACAAATAATTTTGACAGTTCTCATAAGCTGAAAAGTGCCTTTTTTGCCTCTCTCATCTTTTGAAATGTTTCCGTCCCGCTTACAGATGTGCGGAGAGTTAACAGAGGCGCTGAAACAACAGGGTGCTGTTAAAAATAACCCGTACCGAGCGCCGCCGTGTGCGCGCTCTCTGGGGAAGGCTCTAACTGACAGCAGCCGAACTTACTAACTAACCTTCCTGAATTTGTATATAAATATATAAAGTATATATACAATATACAGTGTATATATATAAGCAGAATGAAGGGCTGAATACTTCATCGAGCCAAAACTGCCTTCACTTCCGCAATTTTTTGATAAAAAGAAAAAAAAAAAGAACTTTTAAAAATTTTCAGCAATGCAAAAGAGACACACAGTGAATTACAAGAAAGTTCTTGGTTTTGGTAGAGATATTATAGTGAGGTTTCTTGATCTTAGATAGAACATTTGACCAGAAGATAGACCTTAAAATACCCAGTGCTTGGGGCACTGCAGAGTACAGAGTCTGCTTGCACGAGAATTGAGATGGTAACACAAATCGCCTATATACTAGAAAAAACAAATCAAAGCCTCCTTTTTTTTCAAGTTAAAACTCTTCTTTTCTTGGCCACTCTTAGGAAGCATCCCTGCAGATGTGCACGATATACTGTGTAGCTGGCGAACACCTTGAGATTCAAATGAGAACTGAGTTTGTTCATTGAATTGCTTGTGTACTGAAGCAAAGGAAATAAATACTTCTGTTGTTTATGTTAACCAGACTGTGCCTTTGACATAAGGCTATGATGTTATCTTTATGTCAGCCTGCTGCAAAATCTTTGAACTCTGCTCCATACAAAAGGGCCTAACAGTTGCAAAAATCTATCCAACTTCTTATCAAGAATAGCTATCCTGTATAAATAGGATCTTGCACTTTAAAGCTGGTAGAGCTTAGCCTTAAGGAAACTATATTTTTCAATTCAAATATATCCATATTCTTGTTTGCTTACACAGAGCCTGTTCTGTGGGGAATTATCTTGTTTAGATCTAATCGTATACAGTGTATGTGTGATGTAAATATATGGCCATTTAAAATTCAAATACGGAATGTGGAGGTCATTGTAGGAACCTTCTGTGCCTCAGCAAGTGTGAATGAATTATCAGACTGCTTTCATTCTTTCCTCACTCTTCGGATTACTATTTGCAGCTGGGAGCTATGCTATAAGTCACTTTTATATTAGCATTGAAAATTCCAAGCCTTTAAAAACAAAATATTTCTTCTTCTTTTGCTCCCAGTTCTGTTTGTAGGCTGTAAAACCATACAATCTGTCTGCTGATCAGAAACTAGTTGAGATGTTAGAAATTTGGTAAGCTAAAGTGCGTTTGGTGTAGTGTGACTCAGTGAAAGACTGAACTTGCAGATTTACTGATCCCTGACCTCTGTGGTGTGGCTGGTTATTTTTACGTTGCCCATCAGACTTGTGCCAGGTGACTGTGGTGCTTGGACGGGTGGAGAGGCTGCGTTGCTGGGGGTTTTAGCAGAGCAGCTGCTGCGTCTGTGGGGAGCTGTAGGCGTAGGAGAAGTAAGTGGTGGGTTGGGACAGGAAGGTGCTGGGGGTGGGAAAGCAGCTGCAGCCCTGCCGCCAGCTCTGCCTTCCTCAGACATCTGGAAGGCAGCTCGGTGGCTGCTGCTGGGGGTAGCAATCACGAGCCTCAGGAGGCAAAACTGGCAGCTCTTAGGAGCCCTGATTCCTGCCCACCCTTGCCCTCTCAGGCAGCAGACCTGGCTCTCTGGGAATGCCTGTCTTTAGCTCTTCACCTTCTTATTCCTGTGGCAGGAACAGCAAACCCACTCCAGGTGTTGGTGCCTAATCCTTGGGGTAGCCAAATTCAGGTTTGCTTGCAATACCAAGATGCATCGAGCTGCCTTGCTCTGAACATGTTAGCTCTCGCAGCAGCTCCTGGCAACGGGGATGCAGGGGAGGGCCCCTTCCCATTCCCTGAGACATCTGCACAGCCTGGGAAATGCTGCTGGGGAAGGCTCTTCACCTGAATATCCATGTAGAAGAGTTTTAAAACTCTTTAAAAAAGAGTTCAAAAGATTTGAAAGAAAGATTTTGCTGTAGTAATTTACCTCCTGGTGGTGAGATCGTTTTCCAGGGAGGTAGGAAACGTTGTCTATTGTAGCTAAGATATCAGATTAAAAAATCCCATGTTCCTGAGCTTTGGTGGTAAAACCTACACGTTCCTTCCAAATTTCCAATTCTGCTAGTGTCGAGGAATGAACTCTTCGGTCTGTCTCAAAGGGAGGTTGTTTATTCCTTCTACAAAGTCTGTGAAAGAACTTTACCAACAGTGTAAGCAGCTGCAGTTCTGGATCCCTGGTTTCTCCACTTGCCTTTTTTCTTTGCTTGATTCCTGTTTGGCATTGCAATCTCCACCTGGTTCGCTTAAGAGCAACTTAAATTTGTGTGTAAGCATATTGACAGCGTAACCTCATTTTTTTTTGATGAAAGGGGAAGTGTAATGCTGGCTTGTTAACATGTTTAGATAAGTTCACGTGACAGCTGTACCTGCTGGTACCAACATCAATTTTTCCTCCCTTCACTCTGAAAATTTCAAATGGTCCTGATTTTGCTTTCATGTTGTCTGTATGCAGTACTTTACACTAAGGGTAAGACACAGGCAAGCATGCAAAATTGATGTTTTCCCTTCTTGCCAGATTTTCTAACTAAAAAAGATTTCCTCCTGGCAGTTCTATCTCCAGATATTACCACCCCATCTTCTAAAATTGTAAAACCCCCTGTATATTTGATATCTTATGGACTCTCACCAGGTTTCAAAGGGAGATTATATTTGCTGGACAGGTTGTCGATGGAACATAAAATATGAATGAAATTGTAATTTTATGGCCAATACCGTCACTGTAACTGTCACACGCACTCTGTATCCTCAATAGCCAGATGAAAAAACAGTCTCTAAAAACATTTGATTGACTTTTTTTCCAGTTAAGCCAGGAAAAAATCCTCAAAATTATGAACATGGTGAAAAATAAAGAAGTGAGCATTGAAGGAGCTTTACATTTGGCACAGAAAGAAGTGTATGCTGAAAAGGTAAGGTCGCTCCTTTGATCTATTTTGCAAGACATTGAAATGTATGAGCATGTTCTGGAAAGCCTGGTTGAGTGTTAGGAGCATGTCTGTGTTGTTTTCAAAGATGCAGTCCCAACTTGTGCAAACATATACACTCCGGTTTATAACCAAGTGTGTCAGCTGCTAATGGCTAATGCTCCGTGTATCCTGTGTAACAGATATCCCATGTAGATGCTGCAGCTGCGCTGATGTCATTACCTGGATTACATAGTTTAAATCTAGATCGGATATATTGACACGAGTTTTGTTATTCTGAGTGCAGCATTGAGTACTGTAACAATAAATTTAGGGCAAAATCTTTGGGCTGGTACCATGAAGCACCTCAGCAAAATGATCTATCTAACCTCTGAGAGGTCTCCTACTCTGGAGTTGTTCTTGGGACATGACTGGTCACCATAAGAAAGTCTGGCAACTCAGGGTTTTGCATGGCCATAACAGTGGCTGGCTAAGAAGTGCAAAGCCTTGGCCAGTGTGACTTCAGTTCTACCATTGCCTGTGGTTGGCTCTGACCTTCCATCAGGCAAAAGCAGAACAGTGTTAAGGTGGCTTAAAACTTTTTTTGGGTCCTAAACCAACATAGCTTTGCTGAGCGTAGGTTAATGAGACCAAGAGGTCTAGTCCAGAGATTTCTTCAGGATCAGATTGAGACCCAGAAATTTATTTTTTCTGCTGTTAAAACCTTTATCTCTTCACTGACAACAAGAAGTGGATCATTAGCATCTTTCTGTTTTGTAGAAAGCATGGAAGTGCTTTCCTGAGAAAAGTAGAAGTTGATAATAGTAGGTATAGATAGTTTGAGAATGAGGAGTACATTAATTCTGTACATTAGCCCATCAGTCTGGTACTCGTCTCTGTAATCCCTGCCTAATATCTCTCTCATTGAAACCTTTGGAGAAATTTTCACTACCTGTTTCCCCTTCTGCTCTGGATTTTTGAACCAGCCTCCCTATGGGAGCATCTCCAGGAAACAGTGAAATCTCATCATGTGCTAATGACACAATCTGAAATTTTTTTGCACCACAGGAGGTGATAGTGATTTTTGAGACAAGCCTGGAATTTTTAAAAATAACTTTCTGATCTGCTTATTAACTTTTTGGCTGGAAAGAAGTAGATGGAGAACTAAAAATAAATACTATAAAAGAGTAGTGCCAAGTTTTGCAGAAGAGCTACAGTCAACAAAAATGTTACACTCAGCAGTGTAAGACTACATGAAAATATATTCTCAGAATAAGCAGAGAAAGGGTTCCTTTTCTACTTCTGCTGCATTAAAGTTTTTGTGATAGCTAATTATTAGCAATAAATCAAATTTAATATAGCTGGATCATGACCTTCCCTTCCCTGCATTTTCCTGAAGATTATAAAATTAGTCATTTTCCCTACGCACAGTACAGCTGCTGTAAGGGACCAGATAGCAAATTGTAAACCCTCATGTAACATGAAGGAACAAAGATCTTTCATTTCACTGCACTGCATTCGAGGGTCTGTAAATATTCTTTAAAGTCACATATGGTTCTTGTTTGCTACTTAGCTCATTTAATAGGACTGCTTGTACTCATGTGTTTTGAAACGTGTTTAGTACAATTTCATGGGCTCTGCTCTTCCCCTTCCTGTCTTCCTGCTCTCCCTTTCACCTCCCATCCCAATCTGTGGTCCCTTCATTAGTTCAGCAGCACACGTGGATGTTTTGTGCTTGTGAAAATCAGGTCAGGAGGATGCTTTCATGTATCTCCATGTGCAGTTCTTCTGCAAAGCCTCCAGCACTGTTTGAACACTGTTCACTGAGGGAGCTTTCACCTGAGAACATGATTGGATTTGAATGGAAAAAAATTAGCACAGTGTTGGACATATTTCTGATTTCTGTTCTATTTTTCAGGATTCACAGGATTTGCTAACTGGCTCACAATTTAACTTCGTTATCTACAAATACAAACACTATCGGTGGCAGAAACGTATTTTGCAGGTAACTTTAAAAATTCTCACTTTTGAAGCAATATAGAAAAAATATAGGATGCTTAGGTTGCGTGGTAAATTTATGAGATAGCTTAAAACATCTTCAGTGACCTATCAGAGACATATAAGGTATTGAACAAACTTTCTACATTTTACTGCAAAAGAATATTGGGAGTAATATCTGAAACTCCCTCTACTGAGTCCCTGGGAGGGCTGTAGAATGGACTTCACGATCTAGGAGATTATTTCACCTCTAAAAACCATGATTCATCACAAAGATGATTGATTATAATAGGTTCTGCCTGGCAGTTGTTGTTGTTAGTTAGTGACGTTAAATGCATACAAGTGATGTAGACATCCTTAAATATCTGTCCCTTTTGACAGGACATCACTTCAACGGCACCCTCTGAAACCTTGGGAAGAAATGTTCCTGGGGATTCTCAGAACATTCATTTGGCAGACTAAGCATTTCATCTCTGGTTATTCTGTCCCGTGAATTCTTTTTTTGACATTATGAACCCTTAAGGCTTTACTGACTTGCATGGTATTAAAGCAAACTTCAATCGATAACACGTAATGGTGATTTCTCAATTCCATGAAATCAGTGACAAAACTTTCATATTGTTTCCAGGAACCTGGATTTCACTGAATTTTCCTGCAGTTTGGACAAAATTTGATAAAGAGCAAGTTCAAGTCATACATGATAGAGGATGATTTTTTTCGTTTATTACATCTTAACTGTGGAAAGTATAATCTCCCTTTTTTCCCTCAATATCCACTGGTTTTCAGAATTAAAAGATTATTTGTTTAGACATAAGTCTGATGGAAAATGGAGAAAGCTGTATTTCATGTGGAAGTTATCAGTCTGGGAATCTGGAGTAGTTTAATTCCAGTTCTGTAGTTCCCAGCAGCCTTCAAAAGTCAGAATTAATAATGAGAATGGTTCTGCTTTGGAGATTTCCTGCTATAAACAGAACAGAGGGAAAGGCCACGGTGTTAGCATGGGGTTGGCATGGTCTGCACTATAGGAAAGGAAGGTGCCAAGAATCATTTATGACCAAAGGTAAATATCTAACTCAGATGAGATCTGAGACTCGTCCGAGTTCGTCTTCTCTGTGGGCCGTGCTCACCGAAGCCAGGCAGCCAGATAACATTCACATCTTATTGTATCAACAAAGCTGTTCCTGCTCAGCAGGGACTGACGCGTAGAACAGATACTGGAATCTGTTTGTACCAGTTTTTAACATTGCAAATACAGATTGTGCAGTGGAAGAAGAATAATCTTATTTTGAAGCAATCAATTTTTAATTGTTATAGCTCAGAAACAGCAGTAAAATAACTTTATTAGCTAATATTGTTGCTCCCTTCATCTATGTGTACACATATATGTGTCTATATACACGCAGGCAAAAAAATCTGTGTTAGACAAGATCTAAACCAAAACACAGTAATATTTATATTGGAAAGTAATCTCTCAATAGTATCCTCTTTTCCTGACACAGAAGCGGCTGTTATAACCACCTTCACTTTGTTTTAGTACTGGGGCATAGGTTGAAGCAGTTAGTAATTCAAGTTTTGCTGAGATGGTCATGCCATTAGTTTGTGCTACCTCTATTGCTGAATGGGATGTTTTTGCGTTGGATTGTGTAAGATGAGGAGAATTTAGAAAGAAATAATATTTCAGAGTGATAAATTGTTGTATATTCATCAAAAGAGATAGGGAAACACAGTTACAATGAATATCTGTTTGTTTTGTAACTAAAACAAATATAGTACAGTATCTTGATGATGGAATGTCATTTTTTATTCTGTTCATCGGCAAGATACATATTCTAGGCTGGTCCTTTATCTAAATGCTTTTGCATGGCAATATTGGGAATGCTGTCTTTCCCTTTCAATGAAGAGACGTGATGGAGTCAAGTAATGAAGAACTTTCTATTCCAGATTGATTTCAACACAAAGACCATTTTTAACATTGAAAAAGGAATTATTAAGAAGCAGTTCCCTTTCTCACAAGTCAAAGCCTGTGAAGATACTGAAAGGAGGCGCTTCAGCATTGTGTTTCATGGGCGACAAGATTATGAGCTGGAAGCAGTGTCTCTTGATGATAAAAGGAAGGTAAGTTTTTACAATGTCATAGACAGAGTGCTATAAATAACAGCTAATGTTATGGTAGTACCCAGCAGGTCCCAATCATAAATGGGAATTGTTATGCTGTGCATTGTGCAGGAAAAGAAGTAGGCATGCCTTTATTCTGTGTGTGTTCGTACAAAGAACAAAGGGAATGTAAGTTCAGGATAAAGTTTGGCCTTAGGATTTTGCCACAGTTCACTAGGATTGAAGATGTAAAGCCAGCTCAAGACGTGATATGAAAATGGATGCATTTCTTCAACTACACCTTGAATGTAACTGGTCTGAGATTGTATTAAAACAAGAAAACAAAACTGATGACATGCCCAGTTGAATCCCAGTTGAAATTATCTAAGCAGTTTTTTTTCCCTATATATGTTTATTAAAATGTATGCTTGTAAGAAGAATGAATGAGGCCAATCCTGATGCTGTGAAAAAAAAAAAAGAACTTAGTAGTTAATCTTTTATCATCAAAATACATTGAAATTATAAAACTATCAGAGGAAGACAGCCCAGGTACAAGTAGGTATTTGTTTCATTAAATAATGCAGTGTTGCAAGATTTCATACGACCTGTTTCATTTTGAGGTCTTGGCTCCTTTTGAGTTCTAGGTTCAATTCAGTTTTCCAAGTAGTTAGTGTAATTAGGCTCTACGCTGGAACCTGGGAAACTTGAGAAACTCAAGTCATGACATTAGCACTAGCTTTTCACCTGAACGCAGATATCCCATGTGTTGAGGGGTGATCCCTCAACATCCCACCCATGTTGAGGTGTGATCAAGTCTTGTGTCATCCCACTGCTGAGACATGGAAGGAGCTGCGCAATTTAGGTTGAGCTACAAACCCTCAAAAAGTGTGGAAGAGTTTCCATCCAAACTTCTGCTGTTACCCATTTTTAAGGGACTTTTTGCAGAGGTGTTCATCTCTTGTGAAACTTAGCAGTTCACTCCACATACAGGAACTTTTATTCCAGATGAACAGTACCTCATGATGATTGATTAAATTAATTTTCGATATAGAATACATTTAGCAGAAGAGCTCCAAAAGTAAAGGTATTCTGTAGTAAGAACACTCAAATATGACCCTGTATAACAAAAAGAACATTTTAAATTCACATGCTGCTTTCAACTGTAGGCAAGCCTTTCTTTTTTCTGCTGGCTTTGTTTGACATTTCAAGCTAAATCAATCAAATACTATCTGGGCTTGAACTAAGCTGAACAGAAACTTTGTCCTGGATTGCTTTGAATATGAATTAAAACAGTAAAATTATGTTTTACAGTAACCCCTCCAGAATAAAATTATATTCTTCTTACGCTGACAGGTTTAGAACTGTGGACATAAAACCAAATTGCAGTTAAATAATTCAGCATCATAGAAAGGCCCTATTTATTTTACATTAATTTATTTTACCTGTTTGGCTGCTGCTTATAGTGTTGTCTGTCATTTTTATATCTGAAAAATCCACCTTTTAATGTCTTATTCAAAGGAATTAACGTGGAAAATATACTCTCTGCTGCTGTTTCTTATATAGATAATATACCTTCTGAGCAGAGTTATACAGAGCAATTCGTACAAGAGACCAGCAGAGTCCTGCTTTGGAAGACCTGCAGAATATGATGTGATACATGAAGGACTGCTGGATTTGCAGCAAAACACTTTTACATCCGCTGAATGGGTGAAGTATGAACTGCACTTTTGTAGACTTCTGGACTGTGGATTTTGTTCAAATTTCTGATAAATACATCAAGATTTTAATTTGCTGATATTAAGTTAATTATTTAATTGGTTTTTAAAGTTAAAACTTAGATGCCAAACCCACATGAGACGAAAACATTGAAATTAACTGTTAGTGCAATAGTGATACCCAACCAAATGAAGTTCTGGTGTGTGCTAGAGACTGCTGTGTGTATTACTAACACAAATATATAGTGGTGATGGTGCTCAGAGTGATTTTAATGGTGAGACTTCTTTATGTTTACCTCCACTTTTTACTGCATTTTCAGTCATGAGGAAAAGGAAAAGGAGAGAAAGACTGGCAAAGCAGATAAGGAGTACAGGAGATCTGCTGGAGAACACTGACTCACACTGGCCAAATGGCTGCCCCCAAATTTGTAATTTGTTCCTGTAATGTTCTGAACTTTCCTCCTGTGGGGGTTACCAACCATGGTGGCCTAATGGGGTGGTGGTTTCAGAGACAGGAATCATTATTCAGTAGGAAATGGACTGTCACCACCATTTCATTCAGCCCCTACACCGTCACAAATAAGTACAATTTTTGCTTCCGCTTATTCTATTACTGAACTATTGAACCAGCCATAATGGTTTTACATACTTTGCTCTCCATTCTACAGACAACCCCCCCATCCCCTGAGCCAGCTCCTAAAATACCTAAAACCTGCTCATACTATTAGAAGAGAGAAAAAAAATCTGATTAGCAAAAACTGATGGAAAAAAATTAAGATTGTAATTATCTGCACAGGACAATTATCTCAGAAGATTTCACAGTTCACAGAAAATTATTTTAATTTTTTTTAAAAGGCTACCACTGTATGTCTCGTAAACACTATCCTCAAGTGTGTCCAGGATTTGTTACCTTGCAACATTTAACAAGTTTGTTAACAAACAAATATTGATTTTTATTTATCTTGTGAAGCAAAGCCCTTCTTGCTTTCTTCTTGATATTAATCCTCTCCTTTTTTTTTGGCAAAGTAAATAATGGTGGAAACATCTGGAGATCTGATTAACTAGAAGTCCCTGCTTTAAAGAAAGGAGAGATCAATATAACTTCCAGCTCCATTAAACAATTCTTATCACTCTGACTGTTTATTTGGGAATAGATGCAATTTATATTTTATGCTTAATTTTTATGGAGCAGCTAAACTTATTCAAATTCCTCTTTAATCAACTAGCCACACATTGAAGAGAGAGTGGAGGAAAAGAAGGGTCTGATAGAACTGTCAGAAAGATAAAGAAATGCAGTAACCCTCAAGAAAAAAGAGAATGCAAATGCTTAAGTAGGATTAAAAAACACATGCAGTAAAGCCCCACTTGTTGCTCAGTGTGGGACCTTTGCTATAAACAGCAGAGCAGAATCCTTCAGGACAGACTGAAGCAGAAGATTCTGCTGTAATCGAAGCTGTGTATGGTCAGGCAATTTTGGCCAGGATTTTATCATTTAAATAGGTAATACTCCAAATTTGGCACAGTCGCTTCTGATGGAAGCCCTTAAGAGCAGAATACTTTGACCTTTTCCTGCCAAGTGACTCATGGGAATGATGGGTCCAGGATCAGTCCTCATGGAGTAAGAGCATGCGCAGAAGCATTTCCAAGAAGGAGAGTTACTGGACTATAAGATTGGGCACTAACTTATAGTATGGTGACTTCTTAATAGCTTGGTAGCTGCAATACCTGCAAGACACAGAACCTCTGACGCCTTGTCATACTATGTGCCGCTCAGTCACACAGTGAATTCCTTTAAAAGCTCACAGTCCAAAACAAATGAGAGGAATAAATAGAGTGGGAGGAACAGAATGTGGCTAACAAATTAACAGGACTTGGGTGATTTTTAGTTGATAGATCTTCATTTCAGCTCTTCCATTTGTTATGGCAGGGTGGAAGTCCATATTTTCTGTCACAGTTTACTTACATGTTAGATGAGAATAAGAAGTCCTTATCTCAAAAGTTTTATGATTTAATTTCGATACCTTTTGACTGTTCCATGGAGACCTAATGACATTAGAAAATGCTTTAATAAAGGCAAGGCTTGTATAAATAAGTAGTTAGTTAAAAATGAACTGTATCTCCATTCCTTGTCCTTCAGGTACTTGGTACAACTACGTGAAGGAGAATTGACTTTATATTGCATAGGTCTGGGAGGAAAGAACAAGTCTGCAGACCCTGTAACAAATACAATTAATTTGTCAGGTGGTAATGTGAGTGTCAGCAAGGAGAATGGATGCAGTACCTTTTCAGTCCAGACCAAAGAACACAATTATTTGTAAGTATAGTTGGTAATTAATAACTTGTTAAAGCAGAACCACTGAAAACAAGGTCAAGCAACAGAGAATCTCAATGTCTCAGAACAAAACACAACAGTGGAGAAATGAAGCCATCAGAATTGTATAGATAACCCCTCCCATAGCCCTGCACTGATTCGATGAGTATTTTAAGGAGGAATCAAAGGTACCACATTGTGGGATTGAGAAGATACATTGAAATACTGCCCTCAAAGACTTGTCTAGTTGTCATGTCAGGAGCCAGTGAAGAGAGATATAATTCAGCTTGGTAGGACAGACATGTGAACAGGTTCTGACTAGCTTGTGCAACAAGCTCAGTAAGACGTAGCACATTGTTCACCTTCCCCCAAGGTGGAGAAGAGGAATTACGAGGTAACTGCACCACGAAGTCAATATATGGCAAAACTTCAGCTCTCTAACCTTAGACACGTAAGCAATTAACTCTCTCTGAAAAGGTCAGAGTCAGCAGCACTGGGCTCCTTTGACAAGTAAAGCTGCTGAACATCATTCTGCTTAAATAAGAAATATCTATGGCTGTATTAGTCAGCATGTTATTTACACTTCCTTGCGTTTATATGTGACATTCTTAAATTTCAGGTTTCGAATACCCTTTACTGTCCAAAATAACAGGGCAGAGGATGTTGGCAAGCTCCAGAACGAATGGGTGTCTCTCATAGAAAGGTACTGTCCACTGTGCAAGGGTGCCTCAGTGCCTCAGGAGCGATCTGAAGGATGCACCTCCTCTGAAGCTGATTATGAGGATTTTACTGTACCTCTGAATGAACAGAAAGAGGAGGCCCTCCTCTTAGGTGTGAGTTCTGCAACAACCAGTCTGAACAAGTCTTCAAGTTCTCAGACAAAGCCTGCAGAGGCGGACACAGCCCCAGCATCAACATCTCTTCCACTTCCCATAAGTAAGGCAGAGGTACCACCAGCTCCACCTGCATTCCCGCAGCCCTGCAGCCTCTCTCCATCGACAAAGAGAACCAAAGCCTTTCACTGGGATGTTGTTCCTTGTGATAAGGTGAGGATGAAAGTGATGGTAGCTGTTAAAGAAAAACATAAAATTGTAGCCTGTATTACAGGCATAGTTATCATAGAAGTATAGCTGTGCCACACAACAACATGGATACCCTTCTGTATGTTTTCATGGAACAAAGTGACTCTGTTCTTTTGGCTTTTTGTTTACCCTGTTACTCCTATATTTTTAGATTCAAAAATCTATCTGGGGATCATGTGACCCATGCAAGAAAAAAATAGACGTATCCAGACTCTGTGATCAGTTCCAGATCCAGGACATGGCAGCATTTTCAAGCAATGAACCTTCAGTGAATCAGCACATCATGTTAGATCGAAAAGTTGCACATAACTTCAGTAAGTGTATTAATAAGAACTGTACTCCTGTCTGAAAGCCTGGGGTGAGCACTGCATGTATTTTCTATTCATACTTTCTGCCATTCAATATGCAAAGGAGACAAGCTTGTGTCTAAATCACCTTTTAATTCAGTGCCCCTCTACTCATTTATAAAAATAGACCTCATGGCTCTGTTGCTCTAAATGTGGTCCTTAATGATGTAAAGTAGAAGCACCAAGCTTCTCCTCCTTTTGTACAAAACATGTGGGTGTGCCATTGAGCTGTGTTGCTGTTGTCTTAGGGCAGACATGTAAAATCACGTATGATGCCTGTGAAATCAATGTTAAGACTCTGACTTCAAAGACTTTTCAAATTTTATGGGCTGTCCAGGTGAAACAAGTCAACAGAAACAGATAGGTATCTAGAACTTCGAGGACTGTGCTCAGTCTCTCTCCTATATCGAGTTCAAGAATATTCATGTAGGTGTAGACGGGTTGGTGTAAGAAGCCTTTGAGACAGCTACAAGCCAGGTCGCAGGAACTCTCTTGTTTTTTTCTCTGGCCAATAGCTTAGACTGTGAATGGTTGTCTTGAATGATCATGAACAGGATCCTTCCTTCTCATATCCCAGATATTATTCTGCTAAAGGCCTGACCTAGAACAGTCTTTCACAGCTAATGAAGCAGTTCAACACATAGCTCTGGTCTTACTAATAAAATGATGTAAAGGTCTTTCAACTCCTTTGAGAAGAAGTGGTAGATATTGAAGGAGCAAGAGTACTCTTCAAAGACTACTCTGATTTCCATTACAGAAATGGCTTTCCAAAAAAGTTCTAAAACCTAGCGCTGTTTTAAGAAATGTTACATATGTAAAGAAGTTGGGGCAGTTAATTTTGAAGTTCTAATGATTTAATCTTTATGAATATTGATAAGAAAAAGTATACTTTGGAGATTGTGTGAAATTTTAATTGGAAACTGTAAATGGAGATAACTTGTTGGAATTATTACATCCATTGACTAACAATTTGAAGGGTTAAAAGGAAGTGAGTGGAACAAAAGTGCTGTTGCAGAGAAAAAGAATCCTGTAATAGCACTTTTATCTGCTAAATTATTGCAGTTTCTTTGAGGAAATTTATTTCTTTTGGTTTGCAAGTAGCACCATTCTTCCTTTTGATCCTGTTCCTCTTAAAACTTTTTTCATTGAGACATTCTGCATGTGTTTCTTAATCTTATTCTTAAAGTCTCATCAGTGAGATTTTTGGCATATACTTATTACAATGGACATTACTTAGATCAAAAGTTAATTTGATCCTGAGAATTCTGATTAATCTTCCTGCAAGTGCTGCAAACCACAGTTCTTAAATTAACGAATAAAAAGATGAAGGTCCAAAATGCCAGTAGATTAAAATTTCTTTAGAATTTGAATGGGTTTCTGAACCCAAGAGGAAAATGTTCTGAGTCTTTCTGAGAGAAAATCTGCACACCGAATTCCAGCCTAAAGTATGAGAAAATGCAAATAAAAGCTATATAATGGCTTCTTGTAGACAAAATAAATTTCTGCCATACAGAGAACAAATATCAGAAAAAGGAGAAAAACATCCTCAAATTTCCAATGCAAATGTTTTGGGAGACACTATAATGTACGTGTTAATCTAAGAATATGCGATCTAGTGGGTGAAAAACTGATTTAGGAGTCAAAATACCAGCTTCTGAGACTTGATTGGTGCCTGTTTCTCTGTACAAGACTCAGTTTCCCATATAAACAATCCTTATTTTGCCTAAGAAAATACTTTGAAACTCAAGATGACATGGTAATGTTGATAAAAAAAAAAATCAAGAAACAGAGCAGGAAGAACATACGTATTAGTTTTGAAGAAAAAGTTGCCGATACTATTTTGGAAAGAAGGGAATTTTAGAAAGGAGGCATGAATTTACCTACTTCTAAAGAGAGGTAAATGCTATAGCAGAATAGGATTTTTATTAGTTTTTAAGGTAAGTTATGTATTCAGACAAATCACTGTATTCATCCACTTTGTTCCAGGTTTTCATGAGTATTTTGAAAAATGAGTTTAACAGGCTAAACATTTATAGACAGTGAATTCGTACAAAAGATTAGAAAATATTTCTGATTTTGTTAGATTTGAAAATCTGATTTTGTTCTGATAAGTTCAGTAATTCTGAACTTGTGTGATAAATATTTTCATTAGAAATCCAGTTCTCAGAACAAATTCAACCAGGAAAAGGAGCTGCTGAAACAAGCCTTTGTGACCTTTGACCAACAAAGAATATCTTAAATTTTACTTGTTAAATATTTGCAGCTGATTACTTTGCCAAAGCCTGATTACTGGGATTTATTCAGTGGCTAATTTCAACTACTGAAAATGTTAAAACCAAAATGAACACTTTGTAGACAGTTTGTGAAAAGGAAGCAGCTAAATTTTAAAATCAACGTTTTACTACGAATGATTCACTCTGTTACAGTCCATAGACATCACCCCACTTGCAGAGATATATGGTTTAAAAGGCATAAGGAAGCAAAATATAAAAGGCATAAAAAGCATAAGAATGAAAAAGGGAAGATTCTGCCAGGCTTAACACTAAAGCTAGATCTTGTAACAAAATTAAAAGGGTGGAAAGTGTGTCAGAGGAAGAATAAATGGTATATACTCCATTGGCCAACAACCTCTTGAGAACCATTAATAGCTGATTTGGGCTTCAGCATGTTCCTATAACCTGAAAAACGGTTCCTTTTTAGGTTTGGAGAAAAAAAATCCACAGGAAATCATACACATCCTTCTTGAATTCTCCTTCCCAATCCCCTTGTGCTGCTCAGAGGAGTTCTTCTGTAGCAGAGACTCCAGGACAAGTTTCATGCCAACACTGAGAAGCATTTAAACCTTTTTGCTTTCTCTGCTTATGCCCTCTGTTCACTTCCTTGTGCTTCCTTTTTGACCTTCATCCTTTGGTAATGATGATGGAGATAGACAGTAATTAAAGAATAATGGCAAGTCAAAGTACTTTTTTTGGAAGCAACTGCCTTCCAAACAGCACCTGTTTGGGGAATAGAAGTCTTATTTCCATGCCTAGTAAGAGACAGCCCCATGTCAGTACAGATGTCTTAAACATTACAAAAAATCTTAATCAGATTTTAAAAGATCAGGCAGCGTGGAAGAAGCGAGTACTTCTGTTTCCCAGGTTGCCTTTGTTTTGGGAGTAATTTTTCTTGCATGGACTTTTAACTACTTTCTTCTGAACCCTAGAAATTAAAAAAAGCAAGTAAACAAAATGAAAACAAATGGAAAATTCAATTTCTTTACCCTTCAAAATTTTATAATATGCCAGTACATTTTGTATTTATTTGGAAAAAAGTATTTTCACTGTTCAGCTGAGTACAAGAAAAATATATAATATCACGTACTTGAGTACCTTCCAATAACAGTATCTTGACAATTCCGTGTTAAGCATTGGCTGTGTTCTGACAGAAGTAGGTTTTCACTTGACTATTGCTATGTGTATTTAAAGAAAACCTGAAGACTGAGTTTTTGCCTTAGCATTAGCAGGTACTGTTTTGGAGGTTTCTGGTGTCCTCCCCCCTTCCCCCTCTTTAGTCTGGAAACTAAATGTGAAATATTTTGGTGATTTTCCTTCTCTTGAAGATTTTCTTCCAAGTAACCTAAGAATCGTTTTCCTCCAGATATTTTTCTTAAAAGTTTCCGTATAAAACCAAGCCAGCTGAAAGAAAAACTGTACATTATACATGAAGAGAGTGGTGGACTTACAGATGAGCAGATTACCGCACTAAGAAGGTAATCTTTAAGGTTCAATCTTTTGTTTAAAATATATGCTATCTTTTGGAGAAGGCATAATCTTCTGTAAATACTGGAAGTTCAGGAGAGATGTTACGGAGACATTGGATCTATCTTGGCTGTGAATAGAATATTTGTGCTGCACACAGAAACCTCAATCCTTGTAACTGAGATTTTAGAGTACGTCCCCAAAACACCACTTTTCCCCACGTTATGTAGGAAAGAGGATTGCACAAAATGACAGCAAATCTGACATGATTTTGTGAACTGGTTACAAGGAGCAGAGTTAATAAAAGACTAAGTCGTGGCAGTGAGCAAGTGTAACTCAATGAGATGACTTTATAACACCTCTTACTACAGCCTTACCATCTATTAGGGGATAAGAAATGAAAGAAAAGGAATCTTGTTCCCTATTTAAAATTAGTTTGGAGAGGAGGAAGCCAGGCAAGTGTTAAAGGAGCTTCATGGGATGACAGGATATTAAGAATATCAGTATTTCTGAGTGGCAGAGCTTTGTGGGTTTAAAGGAGAATGCAAATTTCTGTATGTCTAAAAAAATTGAATTACTATAGTGACAGAAATAGATTTCAGGAGTGTAAGCAAACTATTGGCAAGTGAAATTTGTAGGAACTGGATTGTATCTTTTTGAATAACTTAAGACAGAGAAAGAAAAGAAAGAAGTGGAATCCTGAAGTAGTGTCTGTTGTGCATCCCGGTTCCCGTGCGTTACCTGTACCATTTCATTAGATACATTCATATGAAAATCTGATGTGAAATTGGTTCTTGCTTCAAAATGAGAAAACATTTGAGTTTTTTTGCTAGAGTGTGCTTGGAAAAAGATGATACTGGCAAAGAAACTGAGGAAGTAAATAATCAATTTTGCGACCAATATGTGTACTTCTTGTGGAATGAGTTTAATTCTGGCCTTCAAATCCTGATCTTAATCAGTACATCAACAGTAATTTTAAAGTCTGCAGAATCATGTCTGTACTTACAAAGTGATGTGAATAGGAAGAACAGATAGGTAATGTATGGAATTAAAGTCATTCTGAGAGACTGCTTGTACAAAGCTTGCCTGAACTATGAAGCTTGTCTGAAGGTTAAAGGGATATGAGCAAGACACTGAATATTTAAATGTTTTAATCGTGCCAATGTTCTGGAGGAAGAGTCCCTGCTGCCCAGTACTTTATCAGTTGTACCCCACACTGGTGCACAGCAGATTTTGAGCTGGTGAAAGGTGTATCGCCCCACCAAAGGTAATGGAGCTCTCTTGCCTTTCAAAAGTTGACCTTAAAGGTTTCATTCAAAAAAGAAGGATCTTACTGCAGTTTCTAATTGCAGTGCTGGAATTGGTAAGGACATGCTTGCAGTGAAATGTCTTGGACATCGAGAGTGCTCTCTGTTGTTCAAGCCCTAATATAACACCGCAGATTCTGTCCAGGATCTCCATGCTGTTAAAATTAGTGTAAGACCACTGAGATCACTGATTTGTAATATCTGGGCTTTTTGTCATCAGATGATGATGATGATGATGATGGCAATGATGGGAATGAAGCTTGAAATATTTTAGTTTTTCCTTGAAGATTTCAGAATCTTCCTTTGATAGCAATAACTCTGAGGAAATTTTTCTAGCAATAGAATGTGTAAAAGATATTGGATGCTGTATTGCTGTATTTTTTTAGGGTTAAGGATTCAATTCCTGAGATTCTTATTTATTGCCAAAATCTAGGAATGCATGTACAAATCTTGTAGTGAAAGGAAGCTTGTTTTTTCCACCTCAACAGTTTAAAAAATGTTATTGAAATAGATGAGATGCATTGCAGAACTGAGGGTTGGATTTCCAAGGCAGTTCAGTGTCTTACAGCTCCCGTTCAGACATCTCATGGAAGGGGCAGATGCTTGTCTAAAACCATCAGCATTCAGAAGTTTCTCTTGTACAATGCACTGTAGTGGAGTTGGCATGATACAAGTAGCAGGACACTTAACACTTTTGGAGACCCTTCCACTTGACTTACGTGCCACAGTGGAAAATTCTGCTGTTGAAAACTGTGGCCTCCAATTAATTGACAACCTGTGGTTATGACAGGAGTTTAAGCAGGATAGTCAGGGACTGGAAAATTCCTCCCTGTGCAAATTATACCTGTCATATTGTCTAAGTCTGAGCAGGAAGTCTAAATTCTTTTATTGTGAAATGAAAAATATTTAAAGCCAAAATCAAGATTACATTTTCAAGACTGTGACCAGGGAGCAAAATGTTGTGCTGACGTATCCAGTGAAGGTTAGTGGAGGTGGTGGAATATTATTAGAAACTTCAAGACTTATTTTGATATGGAAACCTTTCCATAGTTCTCTGAATGGTTCTTTATCCTGATGTCTTAAAATCAATAGCTAAGCACTCTTTGTCTCTATAAACTTAATTTTTCAGAACAGTGGGAGCTTTTTCATTACACAGATTCCATTAGAGTTGCATTCATGTAAAAAGATATTTATGGAATGCATTCACACGCTCTTGTGCTTCCTTTTCCATGGCTTCCATTGTTTAATGCTTTAAGCTTTAAACCTTGTAGATAATCTGCTAGCTTCGTTTTATATTCATGATACATTAAAACAATTTGATGAGATATCAGACTTCTGATTAAATGAAGATATTTGCTGCAGCTTAAAAAAAAGTTCTTTGAGTTTACTTAAAAAGTTAAACTATTTTTAATGATAAATAAAAAACCTTTCATTTGCCGAAAGATAACTGTTGTTTTTAAATGAGAATTCATTTTTGTTCTTGATGATGCAGGGTGATGAATGGAATATTTTATAATCTGCTTCAATATAGATTTAATAATTCAAACCCCAGCAATTACTCAATTGAAGTGTCATATTAAATTATTGACAACAGTGAAAAAAAATCTTGTTGTTCAGTATAACATGCTAAATTATTTGCTTTATTTTTTTCCATCTTTGAATAAATTTCCTTACATTTAATGAAAATATATATCTGTCCCCAGGAATTTTTAATCACACTTGCTACAAATTTGGTAGATTGTTTGCAGAGAAAGAAGAGAAGATAGTAGACCTGAATACTTGTTTAAGATTCTTTACACTCCTTCTTATGTGTTAGCTATAGCATCGATTTAATTTTTCTTCTTTAAGATATGCTATGAATTCCCATGGTGTATCAGTCAGACAGACAGGAATATCTCCGAAGGAGGGGAACTGTGGTGGTGTGAGTTTATTTTTCCAAGTGGAGGCATGTTTAAAGATGTCAGTTTTCTAAAAATCTGCAACTCTGGAGTACTGTGGGAGAATGTTCTGTTACCTTATGCAGAAGGAAGAAAGTTGTGAGGCTGTGTTACGTGCTATCACAGCAAAAACTGAGAAATGGATCTCATGATGTGGCACAGAAATGTCATTGCCCACTTTTCTTTCATGGGCAATTAAAAAAAGTTTTAGAGATAGGATGCAGTCAGCCTGTGGGGTCCACTGGTTAATCACACCGCGGCATGAGTCTGCTCTGCTTTTGTCCTAATTTTCCAAAGAAGTTATTGCAGGAGACAAGCTGAGTCAGTCCGGCCATAACTGCTCAAAAATCGCATATTGTTTCTAGGTGCTTCTGAAAGGTTCCTCGTATCAATGGAAACAAGGCACATACGTATCAAGCACAAAATTAATGAACCCCTTTGGAAATTATGGCTTAAGTCCTTTGTCACACGGGTTTACAACAGCCCATGACATTGGAAATTGTCTGTAGATCTGCAGGTGAACGCTGCTGACAGTTATTTTCAAGCCTTGTGTATATATAAGTATTTCCAGATATGTAGATGTATCTGCAGAACAGTTGTGCTTTCCATTGCATAGTTGGCTCGAATGTCCATAAAATTCGAATGGTTAATGAATAAATATGCAATACGTAAACCACATTAAACAGTAAGAAATTTCCACGTGTGGAATGGAGTGATTATTTTATGTTGCAACACTAATTTTCATTTGCTGTTTTACAGATACATGCCAACACCAAAAGATGCAGAAAGGTATCAGTCATTCAAGGGGTCTCCTTCAGAGCTGCATGTGGTTGACCAGTTTATGTTGGAGGTAAGAAGACACAGTGTTCAAACACACCACATGCTATTTCTAGGATGCTCCCTTCTAGATAAAACCACTACAAGAAGCTGTTGTTTGAAACTTAAATTTACAGTCTCAGCCAGAATCAGTATAAGAGGATTTATCTGATAGAGTTGAGACAGTTAGATATTATGAAGAGAACTGCATGGATTCTTTTGTGCTTCCAAGTCAGACCCCTTTCGCTTCCTCCAAAGTAGGAGCTGATTTATTCTGAGCTAGATTTCCAAAATCTATAAAGTAAAACTGTATGCATTTAACTATTCTTTTTCACAAGAAATGAGCGTCATTGGTTTTAATGATGTCTGGCCCTACGAGCATAGAGTGTCTTCTTGAATTTGCATATTCAGAAGATGCATATTCAGGTATGTGCCAAAGTGTATCTACAGATGCAAGGCCTAGAACAAAATTAATAAATGAGCATAGAAATTAGGAAAACTATGGTGTGGTTGGGTTACTCAATAAATGATGAAAGATATGTGTATGTTTTGGTATAAACATGGGGTTTGATTCCTTTTCTGTTCAATTCTATGCAGATGTGCAAAATCCCCCACTTAGGCCAGAGGCTGGATCTCCTGCTTACCGTACGTGAGCTCCCTGTGAGCATGAGAGATTTGGAGCCTGTAAGTAACCTGCCTGCTTCATAGTGTGTTTGCAATCAAAGTCTACCAGTTTAGATAGTAAAGAGCCAAGTGGCCTCAATGTAGATTTCACAGCTCTGTAGCTGCAGAGATTTGGTTTTTTTTTTCCATCCCTCCCTCCCCCCCATAGGAAAACATCTCACAGTCCATAGTGTAATCATCCAGGCAGCCTAGTATAGAAAAAACATTTCATGACACTGTTCAAAAGTAACAAGCAAAAAGGTTAAAAAAATTTTCTAAAAATCTCTATAGGTCATGACTTTGACGGTCAAGGAATTGTAAATGACATGAGACTGTTAGAGAGAGGCTACATTTGAAATATAGTGACACTATGGACTTGTGCATTTGGAATACTTTTGGGAATCCAATTAATTTTATTCTTTTTTGTTAATGATAGTACTCCACAGTACTGGTTCAAAACAAAATACAGTAAAAAAAAAAATGGAGACAAATGAGATCTATAACATGCATGCACGTATATTTATGTGCATTTAATACCACCCTTATTCCACTAAGGTCCAAGAAGCAGTTGTTGAAGGGCCTGACAGTGGAATAGACATCCACAAAGCAGGGAGAAAAGAACAGGAAAGGATTTTCAGATTTTTATATGGGATTGTCAAACTTTCCTCTTTTGTGAGGAGGTTCTTGCCCTACAAGCTGAAAGAATCCATCTAAAGTCATAGATAGAGCAAGTTCATTCGACCAGCATCTCATAGACATTTACCATTTTCAGAAGGCTGAAGGAAACTGTTCACCCTAAGGATTACAGCATTGAAGGGAAACGTTGCAAACCAAAGTTCAAGTCCCTTTCTGCCTTTTTCATGATGACCTAGGGATGGAGGGGATGCAAATAAACAGCATTCCAGTCTCATGGACTGGATCTTCCTGTTCCAAACCGCTGCATTACCTGCCAGGGTTTGGACATGCTTTGATTCAAAACAAAGTGTTTCGACACGATCTGTTTCTATGAAAATGTTTCAAAGGTTTTGCTCTCATTCTGCATGGGAATGAAAACAAAATTTGAGAGTTGTGCAAGTCCGAGTTGTTATCCTTTTTCTGACTGTGATTAAAACCATAGTAACAGGGAACAAAACTTGGAAGAGGAACAGATGGAAAACACTGGGGAGATGCACAGATTTCTGACCCTGCCTGGTACAAAACTTCACCTCTGCTGTCCTTCACTGAAACCCAATATTTGAATGTTTGGAAGCTATTATAGATCCTGTTTGCTTTGAAGGATATTTAATGTTCATTGAAGAGATGATTAGTTGTCAAAGTATTTTCTTACTTAGGCACACTAACACGTGTTTGCAAACCATAGATTACACATCCAAAATTCTATGGGACCATCTGAATATTGGCTTTCAGCACCCTCTGGCCCTGTGATGTGCTATAAATGGCTTTCAGCTCTCCTGAGCATTTCATCCTTTCCCTGTTTTTAAATTTGCGTGTTGGTGACTGACGAAGAGAGGTGTGGTGCTAAAAAAATACACATTTCCTAATTTAAAACAAAACCACCTCTTGTGTCTATAGCCCCAGAAGGGATGTGGCTTCCCCAGGAAAACAGAAATTGATACTGAGTTTGATTACAGGAAATTATTCCTCTTCCTTGTGAGGAAATGTGCTAAGAATGTTGATAACAGTCTTCAGCTAGTATAAACAGAAGGGTGGGAGGTGAAGGATGGAGAACCTTATACTGCGCTTCAGGCTATCTGCTTCCCCTGGTGCCTGACATTTGGTGCAATCTGGTGCATTCAAACAGCAAAATACTTTTTCTTCGGAAGCAATTTTAAGAGATGAAGTTGAAGTCGTTTTGGCAGGGCTGGTGTTTGGCAGCCAGAAAGTATGCGACCTCCATCATGGGCAGGGTAACTGTGCCAACACTAGCTTTATCTCAGTGGGAGACTTTTAACTGGTCCTTCCTGAGACCCCCTGGCTTGTTCCACCAAGGAAGTGGAATAGGCAGGTATCCATCCGCTGTGTGACTTGCTTCAGGTGGGGACAGTGAGGCTTTTGGCAAAGGGAAGGTATAGGCACTATTGATTTGCTGCCATTTTCAATTTGAACTGAAGGAAGATTTGTGTGTTTCAGCTAATAAACCAGAAAATCCAAGCGAGTAAGCAGCTGCAATCCAGCCAGAAATTTGTTGCTGTCTTGGAGTACATTTTAGCCATTGGCAACCATTTAAATGAAAAGGCAGGAAAAGAGAGGGCTAAAGGATTTCGATTGTCATCTTTGACCAAAGTGAGTAACTGTTTTTCTTGTCATTAAAGTAATTGTATTATAAGATATGTTAGCCATTAATATTCACTCAGTTTTGCCCTGAATGTGGGGAAAGGCAATAATTTTTAATGAGTAGCTAACATTTTAATGTCTGCTCTTGGTTACACTAGAAACAAAATCCTGTTTAACAATATATTCTTTAATGTGCATTACAAGAAGATGTATTTCCTGATGTTAGGCAGCAGCGCTGGCTGGATGGGGGCATTGGGGAGTTAAAACGCTGAGTTTCTAATGAGGTAGAACATCACAATGCTGGCTGCCCGGATATTACGATCGTGTGGCTAGAAGAGGCATCTGAGCTGCAGGTCCCTGGTTAGATGCAAGTTTAGATCAATTTTATTTTGCAGTTTTGTGCTGAGCACTGTTGTATGGATCCTCTTCATTTCACCGTGGTCAGAGGCTGTAACTGCGGCATTTCTTCTGTGTAGTCACACTGTTGTGGCACTGGAGTAGTTTCTTGGCGCTTCATTTTACTCCAATGCAAAGGTCTTTTGCAACAAGTGGTACAATGCTATTGTAAGGTGAAGTTTCAAAAGTAGAATGAAAATAAATTAATAAATTCAAAGGGAGTGAAGTTTGCCTGCAACGGTTTTAACCCCCCATCATTGCTCTGCTGGCTGATTGAGCAGGGGACAAAGGCGGCAGCTGTGATTTTTACTCTTTCCTGATTGAGATCTGCTTTACAAGAAGCATCATCTAGCTCTTAGTTCTCTCATGGTCTCTTCACTGACCTACTACTTGCGTGACATTAGGCTGATTTTTTTCCATTAATTCTAAGGAAACTGCTTTCTCCTCATCATCAGAATTTGCCATCAGAAAATGCTGCTACTGAGCACAGGGTTTTTCCCCCTCCTCCACCCAACAATGGCAGAGCATCATACTCTTATCTTAAAAAATAAGAAATAGATACAAATTTCCTAAGCTGCCTTATACCTTTAACACTGTTCTAAGATTATGCCTGATCTGTAAATAGAAAAGAGAAGAATTTTTACTTTGTTTTTGAAAGGTATCTTTCCTATCTGCAGACTTTAATATATGAGTGATTTATAACTCTAGTGACAATTCTGAGGCACGACTTGCATTCTTTTTTTTTTTTAATATATATATAATAGCTGTAATACCACATCTATCATAATGAAAAACATAATGAAAAATGCCTACAAAATCATTTTCTGCCACAGAGCATCTTCCCAGATTCAATTAAGGAACTTCACTATCTTTGTGAACACAGCACACTGCTTTTAAGTGGAAAGGAATGATGACTGCGTTTGGAGGTCCAAAATCAGTTGCAAACAATTAAGATACCTTAAGTTAAAAAAGACCCCTGTGAGTAAAGAAGACACAAAAGAACAAGGAAGGGCAAAGGATATGAAATTGTAAAGCTGATCTTAATCAAGAATGTCTGTGAAATGGCAGATTGAAAAGAAGTTTAATTTCATTGTGTTTTCTATTCTTGTCAAATTTACCTAGGAGCTATCAACATCCCTTCTGTTTCTTTTTCTTTTTTTTTCTTTTTCTTTTTTTTTTTTAAAGTATAATAGCTCAGTCTGTCAGTTATTGCTCTATTCTATTTGCAGTTACCTCTGCTGCGGGGTAAGGAGAGGACATTCACCTTGCTTCACGCCCTTGTGGAACAGATCTTCTTACATGAGCCTGATTTGGCTAAATTTTCTCAGGAGTTGACAGAATTTGAAGCTGTTCCTGATGGTAAGAGGAGGAAGAGGAAAAAAAAATAAATCAACAAATAATAAGTCCTTCAACTTTTGTGGAACTCTCGTCTGCGCAATATGAATGACATTTATTAGCATTTTTTTCCCTCTTCCTTTCCAGCTTCCATGAAAGGCCTCAGTGCTGAAGTTGATGGTATGTAAATGTGGTTTCTAAATTCAGAGAAAGATTTTCTTATGTTATGCAGTCATTTGGAACAGGTTTTCATTGCACTTCTGTAGTTTGTAAAGAGAGGTAAAGGTTCAAAACATTGAGGTAAAGTGTTGCTATGGTGAAACTTAACCTGCCATGTTACTGTGAAGAATTGTTGAAATAGAAATATTAAAGTGTGTCCAGGTGGTTTAGAAATATAAAAAATATACTGCCCATGGTAAATAGACTTTATCATAAACTACAAATGTCAAGCGATACAAGTGATCCGTCAAAGTTACGGCTATAGTGGAGTCTCCAGGAGCAGGCAATGCAGCAGGAGAAAACTTCCTACAGTTCAGTCCTGAAGTTCAAGAATTTCTTTGAACTAAACTAGCATCCTTCTCTAGAAAGGAGTCTAATACTAGTGAAGTCAACAGGAGAGAACATAATAAGGTCGTTCAAATGTTAAGATAGACTTGGGGAGACATTTACAACTTACCACTCAACAGCATCACAAGGTGACCAGCGAAGTCAATGGATTTCAAATTGAACCCTTTGAGAGCTGATAGATAAGGTATATGAGTGGATGAAAATGACTTGCATTGTGTTGAAAGTGTATAAAAAATAATCTGTCTTTTGAAAATGTGGCATGGATGTTGACTGTAACTACAGACCAGTATATCCTATTTCACCCTTTGATAACATACCTGAATGATAGTCAGTCTCAGCTGTTGGTTTGAAAAACCCTTGCACCTATTCTGCTGGACTTTTGGAGTCAACCAGGCATGTAGCTTGAGACTACCAAAGTGTGGTTTTATTCTGTTCCAAGAAATTCCAATTGACTTTTTAGGAGACATACTTAACTAATAATAACGCTATTTGCCTTCAGTCACTTGTGTTCTTCCGCGACAATGTTGGTAGCAATTCCAAATCACTAAATATTTTAAAGACAGTTTGGAAAGTCTTGGGTAAAGTGGTACAATAGACACAGTACCAGAAACTGTTGGGAACTATCAAAGAGGCAAATTATGGGAACTGGAGGAGATTGGCTGGCCTCTTCCCTCCATGGCTTCCTGATAGGCTCACTGTAGATCACTCTTCTGAGTCCCATTCTCCAGGG